ATCCAGTCAAGGCTGTTTGCAATCTGACGCTGCTCTGCTTCGTCCCTGGCCATTGCTTCCTGTCCTGAAGTTCAAGTTAAGCAGGCACATGACCATTCCCCAGGTCCTCTTACTCTTTTCTCCTTGTTCAGGGCCAGCTCCTATACAGCATTACTTCCCTTCTTCTCTACTCATCACAGCACTTGGACATGCCTCCGGTCTGGCCTCTCTCCCAGTGCGGGAGGTGAATTTCCATGGACACAGAGCCATCTGCAGCCATTTTGCCAGCCATTGAAGCTTAGCTTCACCACTTACTAGTATTGTCACTGCTGGCAAGATATTTCACCTCCCTGTGACTTGACTCCTCATCTGCAAAATAGAGTACCTTATTCAAGGAGTCGTTGTGAAAGTTAAATGTAGTTGAGGCATTTTAAGCCTTTTGAACAGAGCAAACCAGTTGCTATAGAGTTGATTTCGACTCAAGGCAACCTCATGTGTGTCAGAGGAGAACTGTGCTCCATAAGGTTTTCAGTGGCTGATTTTTTGGAAGTAGATTGTCAGACCTTTCTTCTGTGGCACCTCTGTGGAGACTCAAACCTCTAACCTTTCCATTAGCAGCCAAGCATGTTAACTTTTTGTACCACCCAGGGGACTCTTTAAACACAGAAAGTGCCTTGTGAGTGTTAGCTATCGTTTTACTTTACAAAGCACACTCCTCTTCCCAGATGGATTGTGAACTCCTAGAAAGCAAGGTCTATGTCTTATTCATCCTTGTGTCCCCTGTGCCTGGAACATAGTAGGCACTTGACACATATTTGTTCAACGAATTGGCTTATTAGTACTGTGCCAGCTGCTCCTTTGTCAGTGGTTTAGCTGGTGAGCCAGCAGGATTACGTTCAGCGAGCTGGCATTCCCCAGGGTGGGTCAGCTGCGGGTTCCAGCTCGTGTGTAGACAGGTTTATGAGCACTGTGTGTCTGGGTGACTCGGCCGGTGTGTTGAGTTCCTCTCAGTCTGCTTTCCTTATCTCTGGGCCCTGTTCTCCGCTTCTCAAACTCCCTGTGAATATCGTGCGTTTCTTGTTCTACTTTATCCAAAGAGGCTTTGTAATCCATACCCTGGCCCTTGGGTTGGATCTGTGTCCTTTTTCTATTGTGAAAGTTTGGTCTCTGGCATTCAGACAGGAGAATATGCCAGGACTTTGCGATGCTGTCACGCCGAGAGGAAGAGGAAAGAAAGGACGCGTCAGAGACACAAGAGTGAAGAGAGCAGAAAATGTCAGGAATCCTGGCGTGGCTGGGCTCACCTAATCCTACCCTCCTGCGGCAATCCAATTCCTGCTTGTTTCTGCCGAGGAATAATGACAGTCTTTGCTGCTTAGGACTTTGCTGAAGAATGGGTCCATCATCAGCCCATCACCTAAGGATGCCGATAGAGTTTGGAGAGGACTCAGAAAAGAGAAGTAAAGACAATGCAGAAAGCAGAGGCCGGGAGGACATGAGAGAGAATTCTAGGAACTGAGACGGGAGAAGGAGGTGTAATTCATTAATTGATTTCAAGAAAATGTAGGGCTTTTACACAGACATCTGGAATTTTCTACAGCCTGGGCTCCAGCAGAGAAATTTAGGACTGATATTAGGAATATGTCACTCTTACTGTGGCTAGGAAGGGATGGCAGCTAAGACAGCTCTGTCATCCTGGTCCCTGGTGGTCACTCCTGCCCAAACAGTGGCAACCCCCCATCACCATGGCTCAGGGAGGGTGCTGTTCTTTGGTTGAACTGGTGAGCCAGCAGGGTTATGTTCAATGAGCTGGTGTTTGTGGAGTGAACTGGCCATGCCGAAAGGGAATAGAGTGACCTTCTACACCAGCGCCTTACCCTGTCTCTCTCGCTTCTGCCCTCTTTGCCATTCTCTGTTCTAGAGATTCCACAGGACTTCTGGCTGAGGCAGAAGTTCTCGACTTCGACTTCTCTTCAAAGAGTCAATCCTTCTTCAACTTCCCTTTCTGGGTCTGTTCATAGAAACCTGTGGCTATGGTTTCATTTTTTGCTTCTTCTTCTCCATTCTGGATCTACTTTTCCATTGACCCCAAAGCCCTACTTGTCTTCCCTTTGCCTCCTTTCCCATTTTCCATGGACTCCCCACTCACCTCCTCTCCCTTGTGGTTCCTTACCACCTCAGCTTCCTGGTCTTGGCCTGGCAGGGGCTGCAGCATAGGCCAGAGCTGGCGTCTACCCATTTGCACCACCCCAGTCCTCGGTGACACTCAGTATTGGGGAGCTGGCCTGGCTGCGACAACCCCGGGGCTCCGGCTGCTTCAGCGGACAGGCTGCTTAGAGACCTCGCCACCCTTTAAGCTGCGTCATCTGGATTGGTAAAGATCTTAGTTTCTGCTTTACTTGACCATGAGCTGAGTTGAAATCTTTCTCTGTAAGATTATTTCTTCATTCATTCAACATTGACTGTGCACTTACAACATGCCAGCTACTGTTCTGGACACTGGACATACAGAGATGTAAACCAGGTCCAGTTCCTACAAAGAGTTCAAAGCTAGTGAGCGCTCAGGTGCTTGTGTAAGGAGCTATAATGCAGTATGAGAAGTATTATATTAGTAATGTGAAGAGGACGTGGATGGATAGAGGAGAAATGAACTCATGGACAACCCTTCTTTTCAAATGTTGACTCTGTCTTGGATGGTCACCATAATATAAATAAACATTGATGATGCCAGGTTATTTGTCTGAACAACAGTCCACTTCCTTTCTCCTAAGGCAACATGACAAACCAACCATCATCATTAGCCTCTTTCTATTGAGGAAACCCATTAGCCTCTTTCTATTGAGGAAACCGTGCATCTGTTGCTAATCTGTGGTGGCTTCCATCAGCTATATTTCGACCTGTTTTTATTGAAAAGTAAGTCCAGTTTTCAATCTTACAAACCTCTCCCAAGAGTAGGGACTATGAAGTAGGATAGGAGGGACCTCCAAGAGCAGACTTTTTTTTGGAGTAGGTAGGTGCATGGGGGACTTCAAGGAGGATAGTAACAATGCAGTAGATTTGAGGTTAGAAGACTAGACATCTAGTCCCAGCTGTGTTGCTAATTAACCTAACGCCTTGGGGCCTCGGTTTCCTCGTTTATTTGCAGAATGAGGATAATAACAGTATTCGCCTTGTGGGGCCATTGTGAGTTTTTTGAGGCGAAATGCATGTAAAGCCTTGGAACACCGGCGTAACCGTGACAACGACGATGTCGGGGCTGGTGAAGAACAGGCTGTGTGACCTCGGGAAAGTCACTTCTCTACACTGAGCTCAGCTTCCTCATCTGCAAAATGACCGAGTTTCCCAGGATGGTTTGGAATGCTGTTCGGCAACATGTACCGAGCATCTTCCCCGTCGGTGTCACCCTGGGGGTTCAGAGAGGAAGGAGGCCTGGCTCCTGCCCTTCAGAGCTCCCAGTCTGGGAGAGGGACAGACACACACACACGGCTCCAACACAAGCCGTGACCCCAAAGAGCTGTGAGTTTCACCAGTGTGAGCGTTCAGGGTAGGAGGTTTCTGGAGACCTCTGGAGGGGCAGTCTCTGACCTGGGCTTTGAAGGACCGGTAGAGAGATACTGTGCCAGCCTCCGCTTAAAAACCATTCATCCTCAGAGTGAAGGCCAGACCCGTTAGCTAAGCACAGGCGGGTCTTCATGATCTGGCTCTGCTTCCTTCTGCTGCTTCTCCATCGTGTTGCCCCTTGCCCTGGGATATTTCCCGCTTCTTAAATACGTACCCTCCACTCTCTTGCCGGCCTGCCATCTGTGCACATGCGGGTCTCTTGGCCTGAAACTCCCTCTTCCACCTGCAGGGGGCAGCAGAGTGAAGAAGCAAGGTGCTAGGTCGGACTGTGGGGTTTTTGTCCTAGCTTTGCCTCTTACCAAGTGTGGGGCCTCTGGTGTGTTACTCAATCCCTGGTGACTCAGTGTCCTCAACTGCAAAATGGGGATACAGGATAATAAAGGGCTACCTGGACGGCTGGTTGTGAGGATGGAATGAGGTAGTACAGAGTGTTTGCTAGCCCAGCCCGCAGTAACCACTGAATGAGTATGAGCGATTTTCGTTACCACTCTGTGGCTGGCGTGCTCCTACCTGTATTTCAGGTCTTAGCCACGGCTTCCAACCTGTTATTTCTGGCCCCGATCCCTGCTGAGAACTTGCATTTCCACCCCAGATACACTGAATCAGAATCTACATTTTAACATGCTCCCCAGTGATTCTTACCTGTAATAAATTCTGAGAACAGCTGCTGTACTAGCGGCTGTAACCAGCAGCATTAGCATCGCCTGGGAACTTGTTAGAAATGCGAATTCTCAGCAGGGGTTCAGACCAGCATCTGAACTAACCGGTTCAAAGCCCTGGTCTGAGCCTGTCATCACCTCCTCTGGGAGGCCTGTCCCGGCTCCCGAGGCCGGGTCGAGTGTCCCCACGGTCCAGTGTCCCTCCTTCTCTTCCACAGCGCCACCCCTCCTGCCTGCCCTGTGCGGCATGACCGCAAGGCCCGCGAGGACAGGAGTCGGGGGACTGTGTGGGCGGCGGGGAGGGACGCGTGCTAGCACTCAGTAAATACTGAATGAATGGCAGGGGGCAAGGGTCTCAGTCATCCCCGAGTGGGGCAGAGCCTGGATGGGGCGCTGGGCAGCAGGCCAGGAGGCTGAATCGCAGGCGGACCTCGACCCCTCAGGCGACCGAGCGAGATCCTGGGGCGGTGCCCAAGGCCGCCTGGTGTCGGGGCTCCTTCCCAGCCTGGGGGTGACCCTGAGAGCGCGCTGCGCGGAGGGGAGAGCGGCGCTCAACTTTGCCCGGGCTGGGCCCTGGGGAGAAAATGCAGCCGGACGGGTCAGGCGAGCGCTCGGCCCCCGCCCCCGGCTCCG